GGGGGGGGGGGGCAGTTTGGCTCTGCGCGGCTAAAAGGGTAAATGATAGGGCGTGTGCGCTCCCAGGTCTGGCTCCTGCGACCACCCCTACTCAGCTACCAGATAGCGCCCTCTCCTCTCTCCGACCTCATCTGCTCCCTGCTCCCTCTACCCCTATCAAAGGTAAGGCCCATGCGGTGCGGTCTTGCGGCACAACTGCGCGAATAAATGAAGCACGGTTGTGAAACGCCGGACCCGGCAAGGCCAGATCACTCCCTCCGCACCTTTCCTTTTGTGATGCGGGCCGGGGACAGAACACACGCCTAACGCTTAGGCCACCGCCCTGGCACCCGCCTCGGACGGGCTGCCCGCCCAGAGCGACGGGCGGAGGAGCACCGGGCCCGAAAATAAAGAGGGGGGGGGCGAATAAACTTTCCGAAGAATGCTCTCCGTGAGAAACGAGCTGGCAGGAATTTTGCGCAAGTTTCTTTTTTCGTCTCTCCCGGTTGGACGCCGAGACGCGAAGGACAAAGCAAGGCGGAGCAGGCGAGCAAGACCTTGCCGACGTCCAAGTTCGCACCGCGGCGCCCCTTCCTTGTCCTCCCCCAGCACGGCCCTCGGGCCACACAAGACAAGAGTGCCAGGGAAGGGCCTGGGTGGAAGTGCCGGCCCGGCCCTGAGAGGGAGGGAGGGACAGGAGAAGGGAGGGACAGGGGCACAGAGGGGGCAAGAGAAGGGCGAGAAAAAGTAGGAGGAGAGCCGTTTCGATTTATTGAGCCGGGGCCGGCTGACGGGTCTGGGGAGGGTGGAGCGGGGCCGGGGGCGGGGCGGCGTGGGCACCACGGCGTTACGCGCCCCACACACACTCGTAAAACTTGTCGCCAGAGGGTCGCTATTGCTGGGGACGTGCGTCACTCGGACGGGCAAGGGCTCCAGCTCCTTTCCCTTTGGTATTTTACAGTCGAGTCGAGCAATGGCGGCCGCGGCGCGGGGGGAGGAGGGAGGGAGATGGGCGCTGCTGTGCTAGCTGCGCTCGGTAACCAGGCAGCCAAGCAGTGCGCGGCGCCGAATGGGTGGCCTAACCCCCGGGCGCGCGACAGTAGGAGTGCTGCTGTGCATAAAGGCAACGCCCCCGGGGGGAGCAGAGAGAGAGGGGAAGGGGGCGAGAGGGGGGAGCGAGAGGAGGAGAGCGAGAAGCAGAGGCGAAGGCGAGGCGGGAGTGGCGAGACGGTCCATGCTGACTGAGGCTTTTAATGCGCGCGCTTTACGTCCTGTTTTACGAACTGCAAACTGCCGCCGGCCGGGGCGAGGGCCGGTGTTGTGTAGTGGCCCCTCCGTGGCCCCTCCGTGGCCCCTCCTCCCCTGCACCGCCCTCCTCTTGCTTGTCTTACGATCCCGTCGTGCACCGCGCCATGCCCGGGCGGGGGGAGTGCCGCAAGGCCCCTCCGCCGACGACATGCACCGGTAAGAGGGGAAATGGGGGAGGGGGTGCAAAAAGCGAAAAAGGACGAGATGAGAGGGTTCGAAAACAAAGCGCCCATACCAACCGCTGCTAACCCGCATTCCCACCCGCTCGAAATATGTCACATTGTTTAACATACTTGTTTCATTTTTTTCCAACAAGAATCAGAGCTGTCCATCGCCGGTCAGTCGCCGGTATTGTCTCCTTCCTGTCCGACTTACTGGCGTCGCCTGTTCCAGAGGCATAAACGGTATCGGTACATATACACGTTAAGGGTCCCCGGCAGGGTCGGCTGTGCCCGCCGGCTGAGCCTTCCGCGTGGCCCGGGCCGGGCGATAGAGCCGTGCGGGGGAGGGGGAAGACCAGCCTGTGACGCAAAGCGAAGCAAACCGGCGGCAAAATAATGAAGGAGAAAAGTGATAATTTCGCGTCGCGGAACTAGGGGGATAATGTTATGCGCTATGTAGAAAGGCGTCGAGTGGGCATGGCGCCGCGACCTCCCGCGCCGATATGTCAGCGTGAGGAGTCCCCGCGCCCCCACCCCGCCGCACCCCGCGGTGGTCCACGGCGCTGCGTGGCCCAGCCCAGGCCCCAGAGTGTTGCGCCTGTGGGGCCCGGGGCCGCCGAGCGACGCGCCACAGCGGGCTGCGGGGGGCCCCGGCCAGGCCCCGGCCAGGCCCCGGCCAAGGCGAGGGCCCCTCCGCGATAAAAGGCGACCACCACCCGGTCCTTGTGCAGTCCGGCGCGCGCGCACCCAAAGCAAAGCAGCGCTTACCTTCACCGCCATGATGACCAGTTTCGCCGAGATGTCGTCGCTCCTGGTGTTAGTCGCCGCCGCCCTGCTCGCGTCCACCACCGTCACCGCCGAGGAGGGCGCGTCTTCGCTGTCAGGTAGGATGTGGCAGCTGCAAAGGTTGAGAACGAGAGTATTTTAAAAGAATGTGTACGATGGAGGCATGCATTCACACAATATAGGCACTGAAAAACGCGTGACCACATTGTGTTCATGATTTGTGAACAAAGATGGGGATGATTCTGGTAGAGCTGAGGCATGCGCGCAATTTCACCTGCCTAGTGTCAGGACGACTAAGCTCAAAAACTTAGAGCAACAAACCCGTGCCCTGACGAATCTAAAACAAACAATTTCGCTTATTTACAAAAGGCGAGGCAAAAGGGGTTTGACAGTATCAGGGAATTCCCGTACAGTGGTGTGACTCAGATACCCGCGCAAGGCTGCATGCGCAGCTTCGTTTGCCGCCTGCGGCCCGGCGGCCCGGCGGCCCCGACCCCAACCGAGCACAAAATAAGGAGTAAGAATATCTCCCTGTAGCAGAGATTCCACGGGAAAGCAAAATGCGCAAAATGTTAGGGGATTTAGGCGGAAATGGTGATGGCATCGGTAATGCTCCCTCGAAATTCATACATTGAAAATAGAATCACACTCAGCTTCCGGCGACACATTTGATAACGTTTTTCCTTCTGATTCTACGGAAATTCAGAAATGCAGAAGACAGTGCACGCAGCACATAATTGGTAGCAAATATTGGTGCAGACAGAAAGGCATAAAGAATCCATATTTTTGAAACAAAAACCGAAGGTTATGTTTGAGGTTATAGACAACAGGTCTCAGAGGATATCCTTTGATGTTATACAAAACCGTGCAGTTTTTACTTACAATGAACATAAGCCAACGATATCAAAGAAATCGTCGATATCCTTATGGGCAATTCTCACAAGAATTTCCAAATTATTCAACAAGTTTACACACACACGTGCGTCGCGTCGGGCGGCGGCAGCTAAACTTTGATCCGTGTGAGGTAGGTCAGGTCACCGCCACCGCCAACTGACTTCAAGTTCAATAAAGCATAAAAAGAAGCGAATATTTCTTTTTTCGGTGTGCATTGAGGAATAAATAACTATCTATGAATTCCTATAGCAGTTTAGAAGGTTTCCGTCCCGTCCAACAATACTTTGGGGAAAAGAAAATATTCATTTCTGGTGGAAAGATTTCCCATCCCGTACCCGTAGTACGGTACAAAATTTCCGGCGGGATATTCAGCTGGGATATTTTTCACTGAAAAGAGATTCCGGTGAGCTCCCGGGTTTTTCTACTTCCGAGAAGGAAGTCGAAAAATCGTGGAAGCTCACCGACCACCCCTCGTCGGACACGAATCAAGACTCTATGTCAATCTTGCCTCGATCACACCGTATTAGAGTGCGATATATATACGGGATAAAGTGTGGAAAATACATTACATCGAACGGGCTCAGCATTGACGAGCGCGAAGCGGGGCAAATAGTGTTACACCTGCTCCTGTATGTAGAGAAAACACATTTAGTGGGGAGGCGTATTTACCATACAAACGAGGAAAAAAGTGGGAGAAATTGCGTGCGTACGCTTGCATGTTTGCTATTCCAAGCAAACAGCAGACCGACGGAACGAAAGCATTGCGGCAGCTCTGCCTGGGGCCCAAGGCAGTTTTGCCCGGCCTGGACCTGGGCCTGGGCGGCGGCCCTTTTTAGATATATTGTATGAAACGTGATTTTTAAACCATTCTGAAGAAATTGTGAAAACTGTTTCCATTTTTTTCGTGGTCGTATGCAGAGGTGCAGCTGACGGCGTCGGTGGCGCCCCCCGCCGATGACGCTCCCCGATCATCCTACGCCTTCGGGTCCGGGTCCGGGTCGCCGCCCGAGTGGCTCATGGAGGAGCCCTGCACTCGGGCGGGCGGCATCTGCATGCACGTCAACGAGTGCGGCGGCTCCCTCAGCGAGAAGCCCGGCCTCTGCCCCAAGCAGCGAGCCAAGGGCGTCGAGTGCTGCCACGGATGTGAGTTTTTAGTTAACTATAAAATGAGATATTTAGCTAATGATTTGGTTATGTAGCTAAACATAGCTAAAATGTTGGCTACCTGCTACGTAGCCAATTAATTAGTGATCATTTAACTATCGGTTTAGCTATGCAGTTAATCATTTTTGCGTGCGATTGTGTGTATAGTGTCGGACCCGATAGCGGTAGGCTTTCATGTGTGTTTATTGCAGTGTCCGTGCTGGAGACGAGGTGCAGGAAGCGTGGCGGCGAGTGCATGGTCACCGACCAGTGCAACCCCAGGCTGCGCGACTCGCGGGCGACCGACTGCTCCTACGGGGAGTCCTGCTGCATCCTCGTGGCTCTGTGAGGGAGCGATGCCCCCGAACCGCCCTCCCCACCTGATGCTAGTCCATCTCTGAACAAGTTGTGATGCAACCTCCACTACGTTTTAAGGTCTCAAGTATTATGAAGAAACTAACATGTATGCGCTGATATTAAATGTCGTATTCGTTAAGTATACTAAAATGTTATCACTTAACATAAAATCACTTTTCCTCAGTTTTTTCCCTTGCCTTAGAGTCGAACGTTTCCAACCCCTTCATCATTCCTGCACAGCTCACAGCTCTTAGATTCGGAGCCGAGGCCGGTCCGGCCGCCCGTGTCTCGAGGGACTTGGTGCTGACCAGGCGCCGCCCCCGCCACCGCGCACGGCACAGCACGGGGGGGGCACTCCAGTCCCAGGCTCAATCAGATACCTTATTGACGATCGGGGATAGGGCGATGGGGTTCGGTTGGACCAAAGAGAGGCACGCACAGGATAGAGCATTCGCTAGCCTTATGGAGGACATGCTCTGCTGATTGCCCACACTGAATTGCGTCGTTTAGGGCCGCAAAACGCAGCGCGGACGCGCGGGTCGTGTGGTGTTAAAACCATTAAAATTGTTTTCTTGCATACGCCCCCCGGCCGGCTCGGGCTCGGGGCTCTGCCCTCTCTCGAGTCCTCTCCTCCATGTTTTCCCACCCACGACCCGCCCGGCCGCCGAGGCCCTCTCTCTTTCCATATCCTCCTCTTCTTCCTCCTCCCACCCTCTTTGGAACTGTTCCCCGGGGCGGGCAACTTCCACGGGGTAAATTATCTTTTTGCACATGTAGCCGCGTTGTTTCTACGCGAACCCTTTCCCAGTTATCCTTTCGGGGGGAGGGGTTGGTGCTCGAGTGTTCGAGATGTCGTGGATCCCTGTACTCTCGGCACGTAATTTTATGGGCTCAAATAATATTGGCTCTGGGCTATGAACATAGAGAAAAGAAATCTTTACATGTCTTAGTCTCACTCATTGCAAACTGGCCGCACACCCAGAAAATTGATGATTCAAGTACATTTTTCATGGAAAAATAATTCAATCATATCAAAGAACGATTTGAGTCTTAATTTTAAAATTAAGAGAAACGAAAGAAATTGTCTTTTAAAGTTTCCATTGATATGATATTAGAAAACAATTTTTCAATGGAATTTCCTTGAATCAAAAGATACAATTTTGCAATTGCGCGCAAAAACACAACGTCCAGGTAAAATATTAATGTGGTCTTTTACCTGGTGGTCCATGGAGTTAGAATGTGAAAATTCTACATCCATGGTGTGATCGCTGCTGTGCCTGTCGGAATAAATGCGTATACTAGCCCGCATGCACGAGTGCGGATAGGTTAGCCCTGTGTCATGGTCATAGAAACCAGGCCTCAAAAGACCTGTCGGTATACACAGCAGCTCACGGTGAACAACTGCTACTTGCCCGTATATGCCCAGCCCATGGAGAGGCAGCCCCAAGCTGCCCCCGCCATGAGGTGGGAAATCTCAAGCTCTATCTGAACGCGGCTGGATGTGATGTGGTCTCACCTACCTTTACGCCGCCCTTCCTCCGGTCGGTGCGCTGCTCGTGGGGGTCGGCGAAGTCCGGGGTGCGCTTGGCGAGCCACGCTCCAGTCCTGGGGCCGCCTGCCGCCTCCCCCCAGTTGTCCCCGCCGAGAGCCGCAGCGTCCTTCGTCACCTTGCGAATAAGAATAGCCACAGCCATACAGCGACCACCACAACAAACAGTCGTAATAACCCTTTTTGAAGTTGAAGTTGAACCACCCTGTCTATATGGCAACGCTGAGGTGTGCGTCACGGAGTCACGGAGCTGTAGCATCTGGCACCCAGGACGGCGGATTAAAACGAAGCAGTAAGAATCATAAAAACGAAAGTGGGAGAGAGAAAGAGGGAGCACGCGAGAGAGGGAAGGGTGACGAAATGACCTCCGGCTCGGCCAGTAAAGTCTTTAAGAAGTCCACCCCCTAACAAGCCCCAGCCCGTTTTTCCTTCGCGTCGTCTTCCTCAGAGGGAAGCAGGGGGATGTTGTAGGGACGAGAGAGCGAGAAGTATGACCCCGTTGGGAAGTAATTAAACGTTACAACGTAAACAGGCAAAAAGCGGGGTCGTGCCGTGCCGGCGGCGCGGTGGTGCAAAGGGAAAAGAAGGGGAGGTGAAGGGGTAGGCTGCAGCAGCGGCAGCAGCACGCCGGAGTGCGGCCGGGAAATTGCACTAACCGGCGACACCTCTCTACGTCTTCATTTTCGGCCCCCTCACCCCCTTCCCCCGGCGCAGCTTCCCCGCACACCCCCCTCTCATTCTTTCTCCCTCGTGTTCCCTCTCCCTTGCTCCCGCAGGATACTGCCTTGGCGCACAGCGAGCGACTTCTTCACTAATTCTCCCCCTTTTTCTTCCCGAGTCCCACTTGAGCCATTAGCAACCCTCCCTGTAATGTGCCTTGCTCGGGCGCGGCGGGGCGGGG